TCTTTCATTTTTTTTCTTCATTTCATAAAGATCCTATGCATATGAATTTTTTTCTTCAAAATTGTGGTTCCTAATTTTAATGGTTTCATCGGTCTGTTCTTCTCTAAACATAGTCATGTTTATGTATTTTTTTATTTAGTTGTTGACTTCCAGTCCGGGCTTGTAGTGTAGCGTCTTCTAATTCAATAAAGGCTTTGATATGTCTTTACTACTTTTTCCTTAACAGTGCTATGTCATCAACATATGCCAGATACCGAAGGGGTTGGCTGTAGAGAGTGCCCATTGGTTGTAGAGAGTGCCCATTGGTTGTAGAGAGTGCCCATTGGCTGTAGAGAGTGCCCATTGGCTGTAGAGAGTGCCCATTGGTTGTAGAGAGTGCCCATTGGTTGTAGAGAGTGCCCATTGGTTGTAGAGAGTGCCCATTGGTTGTAGAGAGTGCCCATTGGTTGTGGAGAGTGCCCATTGGTTGTAGAGAGTGCCCATTGGTTGTAGAGAGTGCCCATTGGTTGTAGAGAGTGCCCATTGGTTGTAGAGAGTGCCCATTGGTTGTAGAGAGTGCCCATTGGTTGTAGAGAGTGCCCATTGGTTGTGGGTCTTGGGTTTCCCTCAGAGACGATCATTTTTATTGTTCTTCGGGTGTCGATATGTCTGCTTCTTATAACTCTCTCTCTAATGGCATGTTAAATAGCATACAAGACAGTGAGTCTCTTTGTCTTAGGGCTCGTCTAATCTCAAAATCCCTTGAATATTCACCCTGAAACTTGATTTTGCTTTTTGAATAGTTTAATGCTACATGTATCAGTCTTGTCAGTTCGTTGGTAAGGGCCAAACTCCTGCAGAGTCTCATATAGAGATATTTTCTGTTGGCCCTATCATGGGCCATTATATAGTCCCCATAGAGTTGATGCACTGAGATATTATATTCGTAACATTTCTCTAATAGGCATCTGATGGTGAAAATCTGATCAGACCTTCATCGGTTTAGTCTGAATTCACGTTGGTAGCCACCTAGTATTAGTTCAGCGTACGGTTGTAGTCTTTTGGCAGTTAGTTTTGTCAGTATTTTGAATGCAACATTTAATAGGGAGACTCCTCTGTAATTTGCGCACTGAAGTTTGGAGCCTTTCTTGTGTATTAGAGCTATTAGTCCTGTTTCTAATTCTGATGGTATTTCTCTTCTTGCCAAATTTAAGTTATAAATTTACAAGTCTGAGTGTGTAGTTCTCTGTCTCTAAATTTCATAAGTTCTGCTGTGATGAGGTCTTTCCCTGGGGCTTTGTGGTTTTTCGTAGCATTGATTATTTCTGTATAGATTCTTTCAAAGTTGGGGAGTTTATTAAAGGGTCTGTTTCTCTATGTGGTGGTTGATACGCTTCATCCTCTCCACTCCGGCATTTAGTATTCACTCAAAATATCCATACCACCTCTCCAATACTTTAGACAATTTTCCGTGATTAATTCTCCATCATTGCTCTCACACTTTGAGTTCATGCTTGGTACCCATTCTTTTCGTCTTGTATCTTCATGCACATTTCCCTCTCTTGATGAGTATTCTTCTTTTTTTTTTTTTTTCCAGTTAAGCTTTTTCCCCATCCCCCTTTTTTTTCCTTACATATTTGTGTGGCTTTCCTTCTGGCTTCATTGTAAATTGCTCTCGTGTTTCTTGTTTCCCTTTGTTAGCATGTTCTTTCATCGACAGTCTCTCTGCATTCATTATCAAAACCACCCTACTCTACTGTTAATTTGCTGAAATCCAGTGGCGTAGCTGGGTGGGGGGGGGGTGCGGAGCGCTCCGGGTGACACCATTTCATAGGGTGACACCATTTCTTAGGGTGACACCAAATTGAAAAGATGCATTTTTACAGAGCACACACTGCTTTGTCTAACCGAATTTCATAAAAGGATAACCGATCACATGTAACTTTTCCACACATTTAACCAATACAAATGCGTGCTTTATTAAAAGTTCAAGGCTGATGCGTCAGAAATGAGGTGACCCTATAAATAGGTCAGAAAAACACCCTGTCGACCATGATTCAACTCTGATTGAAGTGTTCCGTATATTTCATATATAGTGACAAGAAGCTTTGACACCAAATACGAGATGTGGTCAGATGATTCTAAATACAAGTTACAGCTCTTAAATACATTTACCTTCTAACCTTCAATTAAATTTTTTTGTGTTCTTATTATTGTTATACTGTGGACTTATTTAACAAGAAGAAATCCACCGTGGAATTCGGGGGGGGGGGGGGGGGGGGGGGGGGGAGGGAGGGGGTGACACCATGAGTTTACCGCACCGGGTGAGACCAACACTAGCTACGCAACTGATGAAATCCTACGACTTTTTCTGCTGATCTTTTCGGTTACCGGAAATTTGATCGAAAGAAATTTCGTCGACGGTAAATTGATCGACGGTATTTTGATCGACCGGAAATTTGGTCGAATCTTTTTTTCAGTTCACATGTTAAAATTTTCGTCAAATTTCTTTTTGAACGCACTATGCTATGTAGTAAAACAAAAAGACATTTGAAGCAAAATTTAAACGTAAAAAAAAGATTCGACCCTATTTCCGTTCGATCAAATTACCGTCGATCATTTTACCGTCGACCAAATTTCTTTCGATTAAATTTCCGGATACGGATCTTTTCATACCATTTTTTACAAATCATATCACACTGTTCATTTATGTTCTTTTCCCTTTTGATTTCATCATGTGATGCTTCCAGTCGTGCTGTTTTTGTGGTAAATGTTTGCGGGTAGTCGGTCTTTGGTCAGTTTTTGGTAATCGTATCGTTTTTCTCTTCGGCCAGTGTGTATTATGCTTATTCTCTGCTTACATTTAACCCTTACAAGTCAATGGTCGCGACATCATCTGCTAAAAATAATAATAGACAAAACATGCAATGAATGTAAAACTTATGGGAATTTTACTTTGTGCGCCTATTAAACACGGCCTTCCAGTGCCCAGTACGGTCCCAGGGAATCAATGGCGTTCTTCCTAAGAACGTTTGGCAAGCAGTGTAAAATGTCGTTCTGATACTCTCTGGACATGTAGGGTAAAATATCGTTTTGATACTCTGTTGTCATGTAGTGTAATATATCGTTCTGATACTCTGTTGTCATGTAATGTAATATATCGTTCTGATACTCTGTTGTCATGTAATGTAAAATATCGTTCTGATACTCTGCTGGAGTGTAGTGTACAGATCTTATTCACAGTCCATCTCGTAGTTGAGGAGAAAGCTCACTTATCGTTTAAAAAAAAATTCAATATTTCCTTTGCTTGACGATTCCTTTGATTCATCGGCACCACGTAAAGCCAAACCTTGACCTTGAGCTATATATGAAGTCACTAAAATTATTTTATTAAGTGTAATTTAGGATGATTCCTATTTTCCAGAACATCTGAATTTCTCTGAACATTGATTCGATTCTCTACAAATTCAGACTTTTTTTTCTGCCATAGCTCTCATCCATCTTTGTGCTTATGCCCATAGCTCTCACTCATCTTTGTGCTTATGTCCATAGCTCTGATCCATCTTTGTGCTTATGTCCATAGCTCTGATCCATCTTTGTGCGTATGTCCATAGCTCTCATCCATCTTTGTGCTTATGTCCATAGCTCTGATGCATCTTTGTGCTTATGCCCATATAGCTCTCATCCATCTTTGTGCTTTTGTGCATAGCACTGATCCCTCTTTGTGCTTATGTCCATAGCACTGATCCATCTTTGTGCTTTTGTCCATAGCACTGATGCATCTATGTGCTTGCTACAGGACTCTTGTTGTGTCAACAATTCTTTTACATATTTCCATTGTCTGAATCCTTATTCTTTTTAATCTTCTTATTTATTTCTTGCTACGTTTAATTTTCTGCTTTCCAAGATACTGATTCCTAGTACACTATTTTTCTACAATTCGGGGGGAAGGGGGGGGGGCTGCCCTACTCAAAACACGCCCCGTGTTTTTATAGTAAATCAGCACTAAAACTTTTGCTTTGAAAATTATCACTTGTATTCCTTTCAGTTTTTGTGTAACTTTTCGTAATGCACGGTGGGATTAAGGCCTTTGTCATAAATCAGACTCCCCAAGGCTGTACACCCACTTTGATAACCCAATGGCTCAAGTATATAGATCTGTACCGTCATAGGTTTTTGCTTTTATTTTGTCTTTGTTTTTGATTGGTGTTTGTTTGTTTTTTTGTTTTTGTTTGTTTGTTGTTTTTTTTTTTTTTTTTTTTTTTTTTTTTTTTTTTTTTTTTTTTTTTTTTTTTNATTTACTAGGAATGTCTTCATTGTTTCTGATAATGTCTTCATTTTTTTCTGATAATGTCTTCATTAATTCTGATAATGCCTTCACTGTTTCTGATGATGTCTTCATTGTTTCTGATAATGTCTACGTTTTGGGTCTGAGAATGTCTTGACGATATCTAATATTTTAATGTCTTGGTTGTGATTTGATAATTTTTAAACGATTGTCTTAGATGATGACTTGTAGAGTCTTATTTTGAAAAAAAAACTATCTCACTTGATGACTGAAAACGTCTTGTCTGCACACCCGAACCTTCATCATTGTGAAAACAAAGGACTCAAAAAAATAATAATTAATTTTTAAAAAATACATAATGATAATTTATGTTTTTTTAAAACCCTAACTCCCCCTTTTTACTATTTAACTTTATACCCCCCCCCCCACACACACTTTTTAAAAAAAAAATTACCATTTATCTCTATAACGTATCAGAGATGTACACTACCACAAAACTGCAGCGACGCTTCATCAAGATAACTGGGAGGGAGAGACTGACCAAAGGTGGTCGTCTTGCGTCAGCCGCTCGTATTTCGTCTGCTTGAAAACACGTTCAGGTTTATCTGTAGCCACCTTTCGCAGGTAAACAAACCGTGCTTTAAAACTCTACTTTCTTTTTCACCTGCATGCCGACAACGTCACCAAATTCGGGGTCACTTACTCGTGACGTAAGCGGCACGGCAGTGTCAACATGGTTGACTGTGGTAGCCCTCGCTGCGCTCAAGAAAGACGTTCATTTAGGAGAGACTTGAAATGCTGGAGCCAAAAACTCCCCATGATGCTAGGTATGTGTGAATTCCGTCGGATTAACGTAAAATTGTGTCGGGGATTATCCGGGGGGTCGTCTAATTTCGCTATAATCCGTCGCGTGTTTGTGTCAAATTTTCTCACCAATATTCGGTCATCCCTGCCTACCGTCGAAAAATTGGATCGATAGAGTGAGCACCGCTGTTGCCGACTTGTCACTGCTCCTGCTTTCGTACGCGTCTTTCTTGTCTGGAGGTCCACCGAGAGACTCGTGCGTGTTGATTTTAATGTTGTGGCTATCCAAGGTACATCTGCAAAGTGTGCTGTGTGTCTGTTCTTATCCTACTTCATGGTAGTGATCGCAGTCAGCTGTGCGTTGCCATGCTAACACCTGTAGATTTTAACGCTGCAATTTCCATCTTATCGTTGTTATTATTTTTTAAATATTTGCTTTGATAATAAAATGATGAACAAAAAAAAAAAATATCCAGTGCACTGGTGAGAAATATGGGGGAGTTCACTTCAGTGAACTTTTCACCTGTGTAGTGTGTAGAAATGTAGGACTTAAATTACTTTCGATAATTGTCTTGGACTTGGAAAGAGGGGAACAAACAAATCGGCGAGTATTTTTAGATAATTTCTTTTAAGGCCAGTATCAGAGTAAAACGGTTTATAGTTTAACTTTAATCTACTTGGTCGTGGTCACCTCGTGTGTTCTTCAATGGCTAATAGATGTAATTATTTATTTTATACCAGAATCACGTGTTGAATTAAGCAAGTTCAAAAATAATATTATTAATATTTGCGATAATTTGTTAGCATCCAGTGTGAGTGGGAAATTCTTTATAAACTAAAGTAGGTCAACGCCCATAACGTACTTAGGTGAGGTTAAAAGGTCAGGTCATCATAGAATTCATTCAATTAGAACCTCCAAAAATTATTGGCCACCTTGTTCTAAATGATCCCCGTGTTATCTGTTCAATTATGTTGAAAATCATTTGAACTCTCCCACTTAGTTTTGAACTCTCCCACTTAGTTTTGCATTTGAAAAGTTTTGCTTAATTACCGTTCATAAATAAGATTATCTGTTTTCAATTGTTCAAATTTCTGCTCTTTTCTACTTTGAGAATTTCTAGTTCTAGTAAAAAAAAAAAAAATTACAGAAGAATGTGAAAATGATTCCAATTTAACTTAGCAATAATTATGAAAATTTGGACAACCTTAACAAAACTGAAATTTTATTGGGTTCAAATATTGTAGGATTTAAACAATAATTTGTGTAATTATTGTAGTGCTGGCAGAATTTAATTCAACACAAACAATATTTTTGTACAGAAAAATTCAGAAAATTTAAGGAATTTTCTCAATCAGAGTAAAGTTGTAGCTTAACCAAGGATAATACAACAATATTTTAACTTACATGTGTAATAATTTTCAAACACAAGTGGGCATATTTGTTTTTTTGTCCTGACAAAATTGGATGGCTTCAAAAATGTTAAGGATCTTCTGTTGTTTTTTTAAATTCTAGCTAATGAATTTTGTTGAATGGAATCTTGTTAGACTCCTAACAAGTTACATTATGACAAATGGAAATTTCTTTTCAAATTTAAGATAATGCCCAGATCAGGTGTTTGTAATAAAATAATTTTATTGATCCCTGCCAATCTGATTTACTTATTTAAAATACTAAGATAAACAAATTCCAATTCACATGACATGGTGTTAGTGTTAAAGTTAAATCTATGATGATTTATGAAGACAAAGAAATATTCAGCAGTAAAAATATAATTTTAAATATTTAGTTTTGTATGTTAATTATTTGCTAGTTACTATAAATGGCAAATGCCTTTTTAAAAATAATTGTTAAGGGTACTGTATTTTTTTATATGTCATGTAATTTTCTATACAATATATAGTTGACCTACACTATTTGTTTGTTTTTTTTAAGACAAGGGAGAATAACAGTATATATTACTGAATTTTTGCAAGTAGCCTCCCTTACAAATGAAAGATCCAGAGGAGATGGTTACAAAAATTAGCTGTTTTTTACTATATGCCTTATGTTTTTTTCCAGGTCTAGAAAGAATTGCTGCAGACTATGTTGACAAAGAAACTGCCAAAAAACTTTTGTACCCTTACCCAGGTCGGCTGCAGACTTAGCTATCAATTAATTATTTTCTTTTAAATTATGAAATTATTTAGAAAGTGAAAACCTTCAGTAAAGTCTTTGATTGTATAATTTTTTGTTTATATTTAATATTCTACATTGCCATAAATTAATAATAAATCTTATCAGTAAAACCCATTTTTTCTCGAATTCTAAAGTTTTTTGCTTAAATTTTTTTTTTTTTCAATTTATATAATTTTCTTAATGCTTACCTTCTATCCATATAATTAGATTTATTAATGAATATTTTACAGACTGGGAGAAGGAAATAAGTCATGATTATGAGCCATCCAAAAGATGTTTTCATTGTGAGAAAAAACTGCCAAATATTTATGTAAGTTCTGTCAATCATGGCTTGACCTGAACCAAGTATTACCAATATTTTTTTTGGAGTTCAGTTCAATTAATATCTTAATAAAACAGTTTGATACAAATGTCATGATACTTTGGTATTTAGTATTTCTCACAGTAAGTTCTCACATCCTAGTGGGCAGTGAATAGTCACAAGTGAAACTGTTCACTGGGGATTTATCGAGGGTAAGATTGAGAAGCACAGATGTTTCAATACTTCCACAGGGTTAAGTATTGCCAAAATCAACATTTCAGTTAAAAATACTGCTTCAGCAGATGTACAATATTTTCTTATCTGCCCCTAGTAGTGCATAGATAATTAATTTCTGTTATGGTCTATTCTTTCCAGCTCATTTCACTCCTTGCTGACACCTTATTAATCTGCACATATTGACCTAACCCTGCCAGTCCCCTCCGAGGGGTTGGGGGGGAGATGTTTGGCAGGTTATGTTTACAGGCTTGTACTTGGGGTAGTCTGCCAGTACATGTTTACTCAATCAAAAGCTCCTTTGGAAAACATTTTGTTCCTTTGGTGGTATTTCTTGGTAGAGTGGTATTTCTTGGTATATAGAACCACTGCTAATGGTGGCGATGTTGATTTGGAGAATTTATTTTTGATTTCTTTACATTTAATTTAACCTTATCTGATAAGCTGTTTGGCGTTGAGCAGTGTGGTTTTTATTTGCGTTTGAATAAAGCTCTTGGAAGTTGAACTATTCAGATTGTCTTAAAGGTGACCATTGATTACTCTCTTGGAAGTTGAAATCTTTAGATTGTCTTAAGGATGACTACTGCCTGTTTTGCTTTTCGTGATCCAATCCATCACTAGCTGAAACTTCCCCACAAGACTTTCAGTTGCTACAGTCTCAATTTGTTCAGCAGCTTCCTGTTATAAATGTTCCCTTCTCTTTGCTCATTTTTACTTCTTAAAATTGTGGCGGAACTACATCACTGATATTATATTCCGTTTTGCATGGGAAATTAGAAAGGAAATCCGATTTTTACTATTAGATTTAAGACAGTGGACATGTCCCCTCCTCAGGCTGCCATTCTGTGAGTTCCCTTTCAGCAGTCTGAGGTAATATTATCTCTACTTTGTCACTCTGTTGGGCATCCTCTCCATCCTGGCCATAGTGCATATAAGTACAAAATAGTTTCCCCTGTAACTTGTTTTCTTGAACCAACTCCCAACCATCAAGTTTCAACTATCCCCATATTTGTTTTATCTCAGACTTAATCATTAATTAATAACTGATAATTTATTTTGAAGAAAGGTAAACAGCTCCTATATGAAAAAAATTGCATGGAAATTTTGGGAGTATTAGACTGGTAATTTTTGAACATATTGGGTGCAATGTTAACATCCCAAATCTATTATGTGAACTGAGTATAAAGGGCTTGATGAACATGATGAGGTTAAAAGAAAAGTTAAGTAGATGGAAAGTTATGGAATAGAAAGGAATTTGTGAGAGGAATAGGAGTTTTCTACTGTGGGACATGTTTTAACAAATTTTACTGCATTCATTTCATTTTTTTAGAAACGAATACAGAGGATAATAGAGGATGCAAAGAAGGGAAAAGAAAATGGAGGGAAAATCTGTAAGTAAATGCATCTTGCTTTCACAGGCATAATTTTGTTTTTTCCTAATCATTTTTAAATTAACATTAAGACAATAACATCTTTAATGTATTATTTAGCAAAAATAACTAATAATTCTTTTTTGTATCTTAATACTACCCAACATACCTGGTGTTACATTGGAAAAGCACTTCTAAAGCTTATAAGCAGACACCTTAAATTAGGGCCCTTTCAAAAACACAAATCAAAATTTTTAAAAATCTCTTTTCAAATATCCAGATTTTTTATAACTCTTATACGACCGTTTCTGTTATTAAAAAAAATTGATTTAAAGACCAGTCTAACCTTTAAAGATGTCTTATTTTAAAAAAAAGTTATTTACCTATACCAAAGCTATGGCCATTCATGAAATAAAATAAATAAGATTCCCAGCAGGAGCCCATTCCAAAAGATGCAGTTTTAGTTATCAATAACATGGGGGCTCTTTAAAAATAATTCAGATAAATACTCAAGGTAAATTTTCTAATTTATGCAATTAAAATCTGATGGAATTTACCAAAGACACTGCCTTTTAAATTTTGGATATTAGAGTTGGTCTCATGAAAAGGACTTAATCTTTAAAATTTTACAGCAGTCTATATTATAATTATAGGTTGGATAATAAACATATTTTTTTTTTAATGTTGTCCCATCAATTCAGTGGAAAAACAACAAAGATTTAGTATATTCTTTCATTTAAAATAAAATTGGGCAACCCAAGGGAAAAAAAGATGTGGATATTATCAGATTGAAATCCACTATTTTAAAAGAGATTATAAAAGGTATGCTTACCAAATTTGTGTATACGTCTATTAGAAGGAACATAAATTGTAGAACCTCCTATAAGCATTTTACAATGTCTAAAAATGTCAAATATATCTTTAAATCTGATTTCATAAAGTTTTTAAATCATCATAGAGACTTCAAAAAAACATACTAAACATAAAAAGGAAATTTATATAATCTTAAAACTCTTATAAAAAATTTAATGTTTTTGAATCAGGTAGAGACTTAACCTTTATCGTTATCTAAGTCTCTGTCCATATTTCCTTCTGGATAATAAAGTTTAAAAACCATGTATCCAAGATGTATCCATGTTTGATCAAGATTTATCACTCCATGTAGAAACTTGTGCTGTACAACCAGAAATCGCCTACAGAAAAATTTTCACCCTTGTGTAGAAGATACATATTATAACAGATATATATATGGATGAAATGATCATTTTTTTATATTTAGATACACAAATAATTAAGAAAAATCACCATTTACATAATGATGGAAATGACCTGTAATAGTTTCTCTTTGTTCAGTGTCTTTCACGGCTTTTCATTATCTGATGTCAGTAGAAAAATTATGTCAGAAACTTATTGTGTGTGGCATTGAAGAGGCTTATAATGAACATGCAACATGTACATAATTTGATATAAAAAAGGTAAATAAACAATGGAATGCCATTGTTCCTTTTGGAACAAATTTTGGAACAAATTGTACCTTTGACAAAGCTTTTTTAAAAATGTGTGTGCACCAAATAAAAATGTACTGAAAACCTTCATTTAATAGATGTTTTAAAGTGTGCCATTCTGAATAAAGAATTATTAAAAAATGCATTCACCAAAAATAACTTAACTTGAATAACACTAGACGACATTTGGAAATAATATTTTTTTACTTGTTATCCTCTACATTTTAAAATTGTTTAATTACAGTTTTTGGGGTAAGGGGATTCTAGCCAAACTTTCCAGCAGCCATCTGTAGGTCAGGAGGAATGACCATGTCAAATTTGGATGTGATCCATTGTTTGGGGACAAAGAAATTTCCCTTGAAACTAATGTATCACTTTAAAACCCTAAGTGAAAAATATAATCCTGTTGAGGTCATAATATAAAGACTCGTGCACAGATAAACTGATCAGATAGGAATATAGCCGACTTATATTTTTATTTATAGGCCTGAGATCACTACAAGATTTGATGCCTTTCTGCCTTGACTTCTACACCCACGGCTTTGGTCGTGAACTGTTTAGGGACTCGGTCAAGTCCTACTTTCTGTCTGCCATACCAGAATCAGAGGTTAAAGAGGAACCAGAGCCCCCAGCCCAGGCTCCTGTGCCGTCTGATATCTTGGCCAAACTAAGAGTGCCTCACCTGACTGTAGGAAGGTTAGTATTTTGGTTTGTGATATTTAAATCTCTTTTTGATTGTTCTTTTAAACCACTGAGTGCTGTTTTATGTTTTTCTGTCCTAAATTGTAAGGGTCATTTTACAGAAATGATAATATATTAAAATTTATATTACATAAGAAGTGATGATTTACAATAACTGCATTATAATTTCTCCATGCTATTCATTAGTTTTTCAAATATATTTCTCAGGTCTAATAGAAAACAAGAGGCCAACAGGCAAGGCTATACAGAAGAGGATTTAGATTTGGCTGTGTCTGACGTTAGAAGTGGGAAACTGGGTACACGCAGGGCAGCCATGATTTATGGAATCCCTCGGTCAACTCTGAGGAGTAAAATGGTTAAGCCAGACCCAGAGGTGATACCAGATGACTATGGGGATGAAAGGTCAGAGCTAAGTGAAATGGGGCTTTATGGGTCTGCTCGGCCCCATGGCATGCCTGGTTTAAATTTATCAGAGTTGGGCTTATATGGCGTTTGTGATTCTATGCTGACCTCTGGAGGGCTTTCCTTCTTACCTCCTTTACCATATCCAATAAGCATAAAGCTGGAACACGAGGATAGCAACCTCCTTGTGGAGCATCGCTTAAGTCAGATCAGGCGTATGCATAATTTAAATGGGTTGAATGAAAACCAGCCGAGACCTGCCCATGCCAATCATCTGAAGCTCCCCCTTCTGGTTAATGTTGTTCGCAAACTCGTCCATCAGAAGCTTATGGAGATTAAACAGAATTATGGAAGGAAAAATTTTGAAACCAAATCAAAACAATCCCAACAGGAGTCTGAACTTTTTAGCCCATTTGGTCCATATTTACCAGCCTTTTCTCCCTTTCTAGGCACAAGTCACAATGATGAGAATTTAACAGCTCCTATGTACAAGCATATAATGGAAAGTATCTACACTAACATGATGAAAGAGGAGAATCCTATTCCAAAGCCTTTTGGAAAGGTCAATGAAAGCAGCCGAATTGGAGACACACTTAAAGATATCATTGCCAAAACGATCTCTGAAAAAATGAGATTTCGTGATGGAAGTTCTGATGAGAGTTCTCTACAGTCAAGCCCAGATACCAGTAAATGCACTTTGGGAAAATCCACAGAACGACATTCTGTAGGATTCACTTCTGAGATATCCACTCGAAAAGATGTAAAAGTTTTAAATGGGGGATGTTCTCCCCCCAAAAGAATGAAAAAAGATTGTGGCAAATCAGGGATGCATTCATCTAATTCTCACTCTGATTCTAGTTGTCCAACAGCCAAGAAGACACGACCCAAGCGTGGCCAGTATCGTAAGTACAACTCTCAGCTGCTCATGGATGCTGTGAAGGCCGTACAACGAGGAGAGATGAGCGTGCATCGAGCTGGGAGCTATTTTGGTGTCCCCCACTCAACTCTTGAATATAAAGTCAAAGAGAGACATTTGTTAAGGCAGAAAAAATCCAGAGATTCGCAGTCACCTTCCAACTGCAAAGACGAAACCCCATCTACAACGACCCAGTCCAGCGGGACAGACCCCAGCCAAGAGGAGGAAACTTACACTATATCCAAGTTGAAAGATGATACCCCTTCACCCTCCCCACCCCCCTTGACATCTGTACAAGGGAAAATTCTTCAGACATCCACATCGAAAACCATTACACCACCTTCATCGTCCCTCTCTCCGAACACTTTAACACCCAGTGCCTTAGGTTTGACCACTGGCAAAGATTTGGGAACTGTGGCATGGTACCAGTCATATCTGGCGTCCTCATCCCCCCAGCATGATTCCATTGGGCTTCACCCCAGTCTAACGCTCAACAATTCTGCCTCCGAGCTTTTGATACAACTGCAACACAAAGTTCAAGCCAAGTGTGGGGGTTCCTTCCCCTCTGACAGTGCTTTTGAGCTGCCTTGTAAGGATCGAGCATTTGAGCTAAGTACAGGTGGGAACAGTGCTACAACAATGTCAGATCGACTAGCTCTGTATAATCAATCAATTTGATACTTTCTTTCTTTTTTATTGTGATACAGCTCTTTCAAAGTTAAATTTTTTAACATAAGATTTTGTGTTTTTAATCTTGTACACTGAATGGTCACTAGACGATTCAGTTTTATTTTTCTTATTAAAAAAAAGATTTATCTATTTAAAATTATACAAATGGCTGGCGCACCAGTGTTTAAAACATAAAGAAATATTTGTTCAATGCAGGTTGCATCTGCTTTTCTATAAATAATGCCTCAATGTTTCTACATTACCTAACATTGGCAAATGCCTTGAATGAAATGATCAGTGCCACCAAATTTCTATTTTCTGAAGAATGGTGAATCAAGCCACAACGATTTTTATTTTTGTCATTGTTAATATCTAGTTATCAATGATATTGTTACAATTGTGTGCGATTATAAGACTAATAACATTCCAAAAAACTGTTGATTATTAAGTATGTATTTGACAATTTTAATATTGTAGGAATGTGCTTGAGAACAATGGAACTGATTTGCTCAAAAAGTCAATATTATACATATTTATCTATATTTCAAATTACTTTATCAAAATTTCTTTAAAACTACTTTAGCATAATCTGGACTTATCAACAATTCAATTGAAGACTGCATATATTTTTAGCTTCATTTTCTTTATTTTTCTCTCTTTTTCTTGGCAAATTCTGTTTGGACAAAATTTTATTTGTTGCTTATTTTAAGCTGAAATAGTCAATTTTCATTAATCAAGGAAGAGAACACAATAAATACACCACATAATCTATTCAAGTCACCAATTTCTATTATATGCACAAGTTATATAAAAAATTATGTCTATATTAAATAGCGCCTTTATTGAAAATATGCATTTTTATGTAACTAATAAAAGGATATAAATATTAAAACGGCTTAAATTGTGTATGATAAAAAAATTACTAAAGTGGAGAAAATATCTTAAAGCTTTTTATCTTACATTTTTTTGCTTTTGATCGATGAATAATATTTTTAATTATATGTAGTAAGCTATTACAAAGTTTATCATTTACAAAAGAAATATCTATGTCATTGAACAATTATTACAATTAAACTTCAGAGCTAAATATTTTTTGTCATCGGCTTTAGTGGGATAGTAAGGAAAAAATAAAGATCAAATAAAGTGATCAGTAAGCTGTCATTTCTATGCTACGCAGACCTTAAAGACAAGGCATATCTACAGACATGTAAGCTATAGTAAGCTATACATGCTCCTTACCAGATGGCATTACTGACCATAGTTACGACCAACATTTGGTCAAAATATGCCAAACATAATTAGTAATATTATTAAAGGTGTTGACACAGACCACAGTTATGCCAAATAAAATTTTGTTTTGTGCATCAGAATTCTATACATTAAGGATAAAAGTTGGCGTCTCATTTAAAATTTTTTTTAAAAAAATAAATTCTCTTTATTTAAATATGTGAGTGGATAAATAAAGTTAGGGCTTCCAATACTGTGACATTCTTTGTATTCGGCACAAAAGTGTTTTTTGTTTCAGGCCTTTGAATAGTATGCTTCTTTAGTTAGAATCTCACTGTTTTTAATTTTTAGAACTTTGGCTGATGTCATCATGTCAGAAGATGTTATAGACATTATTTTTAACACTAGATAAGTTAGAAATATACAGGGTGGGCCAAAAAAAGTGACAACATCTCGTAAAATATTACGCTACGAAATGTTCTCACTTTTATTTTCCCACCCTGTAGATATTGTAGGAGTAACTTGAGGTGTAGAGGCTATAATTTACTCACCATCATAATTATTGGATTCATCAACTCAAATGTTCTGAATTTTTTTGCTGCAGTAACTACTTTATGTGTATTGATAGTTATTAAATGTTATAACATTCTAACATTGTAATAATTACTGTTTTTAATTAATTATCTCAATAATTTCTCCTGCTTTCTGCTATATTGTTAAATTAATTTGGATAGCTTACCTTCTAATTAAAAAAGTAACTTTATTCAAGCTTATAGCATAATAATTGTGTGTGAGTCTTCATCAATTATGGCCAGTATTGTAGACATCTTATTTTAATAGTAACAGAAGCCCATACCCCACAATGCTAATGGCTTGGTATCTTCATTAATGTGGAATGTGAATAATGTATGAATTTCATTCATTGTGATTTTCTATACAAATATGTATGTTAGGGTTAGCATACATCCTCTTTTACCCTCTTTTTTAGGCCTTAAATTTCAGTCTGGCCAAGTTTTTGGAAATATGCAAAAAGGTTTGGGTTTCTAGTTTCCACACTTTTAGTAGAATTCATTATTAGCTTTGTTCAGAACCGATTCTGTCATGGGTCTTTTATTTGCGCACTAAAACTTCAGAGAAATTTCTTTTCAACATTTTCATAATTACAGTAACAAAAAATTGCTAAAACAAATTCAATTTTCAGAGAATTTGAAGAATCAAGTCCAAAAAGAATAGAAATGATGAGACAATTTTTTTGTAGATTATTTTTATTAATTTTTTTTATTAAAACAATAATTTTTTCAAACTGTATTTACTTTCATTAGGAAAAAAAAATAGATTTATGTTTTTCTTTTTAGAATGTGTAATATAAACGTTATATTTTACAGGTAAAAATGTGTCCTCTTTTTTTTCTGTCAAATTCCTTTTTGTCCTCTTTTGACAAGAGGTAACTATGGTAACTCTAATGTAGATGAAAAATGAAACTATTGTTTCACGAAGTGAGAATATATGAACTAGGTCTGCATTTTATTTTGTTTTATCTGAATTACATACTTTTAAAAAAAAATTCATTTAATATTTATAATTTCAGCTTAGCACTTAGGGTGTTGAAAGATGGTATGGCTAATGGAAATGTAATATTTATTACTATAGAAAAGTAACCCCAGCTTATATGTCCCAGTTTATTTGGATCAATAAAGAAATATTGTTATCGATAAATAGCTCCTGAAGCATTCAATAATTTAAACATTTTATCAACACTGCACTGAAAATTTCTTATCTTCTAATACTTAAGCCAAACATGCCCAAAGTTCTTCTGGGGGATAGTTCAAATGCCCACTTAACAACATTATCTACATATAAATTAATTTTTTTCTATTTCTTATACAACACTGGTTCCCAAAATTTCCGGTTTAGGAATCTAACGTTTCTAAATATGTCTTGATTGCAAGCAAGGGCAAACAATCAAGATAGTTAAAATATGAAACCTAATAGTTGTCTAGATTGTTCATATTTTTAAAAAAATCTTAGTCTACCAAAAGGTTGGGAACCACTATTGTTAAAGATCACAAGAATGACAAAGATGAAGTTCTTTTTTTTTCTTTGCTGTTCAAATACTTTTATGGTGCTACATAATATACAAATGAAATGAAATTGTAACTGTACAATTTATATGAAGTCAATGTATTCCTTTATTTGTTTATTATATTTTATTTGAAATAATAATATAAAATAATTTTCTTTGACTAGTCATTCAGAATTTGTTGTTCATTTTTCATTTGTATAGTTTGATCTGATATTAATTTTATTACCTGTCAAGAAATTCATTAATTATTCAAAATGTCAACATTTTGCATTTATATTGATCTTAATTTGCATAATTTGTACATTTTTCTACTGCAAACTTTGACAAACATTTTTATTTAGAAATTATAAGTTTTGAAACTCTCAGACTTGAAATAATGATGCCAGGCAAATTCAATAATTTTGAAAAAGCAGGGAGAATAGGATTAATATATATATTATATTAGACATAAAACATTGAACTTAAAATTATATAATATCTTTATATATTTCAGTTTTATACATGTACAGTTAAGAAATTTGTTATGTAACAGAATTGAGAGTCACTTAATTAAAACAAAGTGATGCCCTGAATTTTTTAACACTATCATTAACCAGTCCATTCAATTTAATCAGGCTTTAATTATCTTTAATTGGTGTACTGTAAAATGATATAAATCTTCCCTTGAAAGATGTTATATTATATTTTGAATAAATTCCTCTAAATACATGTTTATATGAACACTTTGAGTTCATTTCTAGCTTCGATTCCATTATTCCATTAGCATACTTTTATATCATAAACCAGTAAGTTTTAAAATACAAACACATTTAAAAACTGCATAAATAGGTCCCCTAATGTGTTAGGGAAAAAATTTGAGTTTCTTAATTAAAGGAAAATTATTAGAAATGTTTTGTCAAAACAATCCATTTTCACAATACACACAATATTTACAGCTTTTATTAGGGCCCTTTATTTCATATCATGAGTGGCAACCACTTTTCTCCTCAATTTTTTCTTCATTCAAATTAAATTTTCATCACTATCTCGATTTAACAAACCTTTTTATTGTCTTGTGAAAAGGTGAAAGAGATTATTCATCTTACTGTAATGGTGTGCTCTACTGAAATATTGCAGACTAAATATGTTGAGTGAATGAGTAGTATTTCAAAAATGGTGATGATAAGTTCCTATCTGTATATTTCGAAACACAGTTTTTAACTTGACTCATTGAAATTATGATTGAAATGTTTCCTTCTCGTTCAATATTATTTTTGTATTTATAGATCTAGTCATTTACACATTGATCTCTTGTTTGAGATGTATTATTTCTATTGGCCCTGACAGTTGCCATGTGTCGGTGTTGGTACATTTTAAATGAACATTTGTATTTACAGGTCACGGATAAAAATGATCTGATGTGTACGTTGTTGTAGCTCATATGAAAAACATGCCCGTTTTTTCATGTTGTTGTAACTATGGAATTACATTCCAATTTTTTTTTTTTTTTCCCATTTTTTTAATGTTGTCAATCAATGATCAAATTTCTTTATATTTGAAATCTTTATGAAGTGCTCAAAGTAACAATGTTTATATGCTGTCATGTGTCCTATGATACCTTATACATGTA